GGCCCCCGCCACACCGGAGACGAGTAACCCCAAGGTCCCTGGCCCGTGAAAGAAAGACAGACCTGCCGAAGCCACGAGCGCCTCCTCCTCCTCCTCTCCTCCTCCTCCTCCTCCTCCTCCCCTCCTCCTCCTTCTCCTCCCCCCCTCCTCCCTTCTCCATCCCCCTCCTCTCTCACTCCCTCCATCCTTCTCCTCCCTCCCTCCATTGCCCCTCCCTCCTTCCCTCCTTCCTTCCCCCCTCCGTACCTCCTCCTCCTCCCTCCTCCTCCTCCTCCTCCTCCTCCTCCTCCTCCTCCTCCTCCTCCTCCCTCCTCCTCCTGCAGAACGAGGAGTGGAGAATGTTCCGACCCGCGGCTGCACTCTCCTCGGGCGCGCCCCCGCTCCTGGTCCGTCCGCGGGGGGGGGCCCCTCGCCTGCGGCCCCGGCCGTGGCCCGCGGCGGCAGGCCCTCAGCGGGCCGGCCGCGCCAGAGCTGTTTTTTGTTTGGGGGGGGGGGGAGGCCGGGCGGAGCCGAGGGGCCCGTCGCCGCGCGCCAGGAGATCTCGGCGTCACTCCAAACATGCTCGTACCATATGTGGTCCAGGGCTTGGGCCCCCCCCCCAATGCTGATGCCATTGGGCCCCCCCCCCCGCGCGATGGTCCCCCCCGCCCCCCCCTGTGGGCGTGGCGTGGTGCTGCGCTGCGGTTCCCCCCCCCTCCCCTGGGCCCGTGGGCCCTCGACCCTGGATCATATATGTGCGTCGCCCCCTCAGGGGCGACGCGCGCACCGAGAAATCTTCTAGTTAGTATGTGCGTCGTGGCGGGCGCTTTCTGGCCACACCGTTCGGGACACGATATGCTACAAGATGGGTATGCTGCACGTTTGGGTCGGACGCGCGCCTTCCAGGAGAAGATATGGTACTTGTATGTCCTTGTGCGTCCCAGATCAGGCGATCGCAGGCATGGCGAGGATCGGGATCAGGATCGCGCGCCAGGATCAGGCGAGGGGGCGTGGATTGGCGGCGGACTTCCGCCGCCGAGCGAGGCGGCACCGGCCGCATGTTGGGGTGCCGATCCATGGATTTGGCGACCGCGCGCCAAATCCATGGATCGCTAATCCATGTTTGCGCACACCCGACAGGAGAGTAGAGCCCAAGACTCCGACTCGGTTATCTAGCGGAATGGTGGTGACCATGCCGATGAAGATCAAGCAGGCGTCTCGCTCTGAATCTGCCTGCGTACTTGCTCGCTTGCACGTTTGTTTGGTTCCCACTTTGCCTACGTGCTTGTCTACTTGCCTGCCTGATAGCTGATCTGCCCGTGTCTCTGTCAGTCTGTCTATGTGTCTGTCTGTGTGTCCTGTCTGTCTTGCTGGCCTTCCTGCTAACACACCCGTCTGGTGTGACAGGTGCTTGCTTGCTTTCTTTCTCGGCCGCCCCATCGCTTTCTGTTAGTTTCTGCTCACTCCTGTCCCAGACTAGGCCTTGCCTGCGAGCTGGCTGCTGCTCTCGAGAATTCCGCTGGTGTGGAGTTCTCTCCGACTTCGTGCCATCCCACTCGCACCAAGCGCTTCTTCGGGTCCCCGAAAGCTAGTTCAGTGAGCATCCCCTCGGCCGCCGGGGCCCCAGTGCAGCGGAGCGCGTGGGCTCTGGTCCAGCCAACGGTTGTGCTGCCGCACAGATCGCCCCATGCGTGCTCCCTCGCTGCTGGCGGACTTCGCGATGCCGGTCGAGTTCCGGGACGCTCGCTCCGTTCGCACCCGCACGTGGCTGGCTCGAGTCGTAGTGCCGGTGGCGTGTCCAGAAAGCTCGTTCCTTCTGCGCACCCGCATGGACGCCGCGCACATTGAGCCACCAGTGCTGTTGCCAGGAAGCTCGCTCTACGCATGTTTGCTCACACCTGGCGCACACCACGCTGCCAGCGGCGTTGCCACGAAGCTGGCTCCCAGCGTGCCAGCGCGAACTCTGCGCAGGTCGGCAGGACAGCGCAGACCACTCGGCAGATGTTCCCCAAGCGGTGCTTGCGCTTAGGGCTTCTTTCTTCTTTTCTGAGGGACTGGGCCCTGGTGTCGGTCTGGCCTGGCTGTGGCCGCCTGTCGCCTCCAGTCGCCGCTGTCCTTGGTCACGATTTTTGATGGCGCGAGGCTCGCACTTTGCACTGCTTTGCACTGCTTTTTCATTGCTTTTTCATTGCTTTGCATTGCTTCGCATTGAGTTGTCTTGATTTGCATTGCTTTGGCATTTGTTTGCGTCGCATTGCATTACTTTGCATTGCTTCGTGCTACTTCCCATAGTTTTGCATTGCTTTGCATTGCTTTCATTGCTGTACATTGCGTTGCATTGCTTTGCATTGCTTTCATTGCTATGCATTGCTTTGCATTGCTTTTGACGGCGTCGCATTGCTTTGCACTGCTTCCCATTGCTTTGCACTTCTCTGCTTTGTTTGCATCGCATAGCACAGAAGGACGGGGGAGGAAGGATGAGGAGGAGGTGGAGGGGGATAATGCGGTTTGCGGTTTTCTCGTTGTGGCCCTGCATACCACAGCGCTTGCGTACACCACAGCACGCCCAGCAGCCGCTAGACTCAGCTTGCGAGCAATACAGTAATCACCGACCGCACACAAACCACCTGGACACGACAACGCAGCAGACGCCATGACACCGACAACGTTCCGACGGCGCTCCCTCCGACGAAGAGGGCAGCTCGCAGACCGGACCGGCATGGGCAAAGGCTCCTCTGACGCAGGGAGTGGGGACGACAATAGGGGAACAAACAGTGGCACAAACATAAAAACTCGGAGGTCCGCGCGGACTTCTCGGATCGGCGCTGGACCCCCCTTCCCTGGCGCGCGGAGCGCGCCATGGGCGCCGCCCGGGGGCCCCCAGCGCCGCTCCGAGAAATCCGCGCGGACCTCCGAGTTTTTATGTTTATGTCACTGTTTGTTCCCCTAAACCACAGGCTCCACCCGTGGCCACCGACCGCACCCTGCGGCCGACACTCGGCGCGCCATGCCTCCTCCTCCTCCCCCTCCTCCCTCCTCTTCCTCCTCCTCCTCCTCCTCCTCCTCCTCCAAAGGCGGCCATCGAGAGAGGCATCTGGCGCACCACCACAGGCGCAGAGTTTTGACCACTTGCCTTGCACGTGCAAGCACTGCGCCAAGCCGACCAATGCACCACACATCGAGAGGAACATTCCTGCCTGTCAGACTGGCCAGAGGCCGATAAGGACGTCTGCTTTGACATCTGCGTCGCGCTTGCGCACGCAATGGCTGGAGGGCCCAGTCGCCTGCGGGCGATCGCGCGGGTTCGTCCCCGCAGCGTACGCCAAAAGGGTAAACTCACACGCCTGGCAAAGCCTAAAAGGGTCACTCCTTCCTTCTCCTTTTCCTCATCTCATTGGTGCAAGGTTCCCGACCCCCTATGACGCCCTCCGCAGGCCTAGGTGGTGCACTCAGGCCGCGGGGGGGAGTCGGGGGCCGGAAGGGGTTTATTTTATTCCTCAAGGGCGAAAGCCCTCGTCACCACCGGGGGAGGTCGGGTGCACCGTTCCTTCGGATGGCCCCCCCCCTCCCTCCCAGGAGCTCTCGAGCCCATCCTTCGGCCCTCTCCGCCCTCTCCCTCCTCCCCCTCCGCCTCTCCCTCCTCGCACACTGGTGCCCTCGGCACGTCCGCTTTTTCTGCCCCCCCTGCTGGCTCACGAGCCGTTCTCTTCCCATGTGGCCAGTGCCTCCTAGCCCATGGGGCTGCTGGAGGTACTCTTTCGGTCAGTGTGGTCTCCCTCACTTCCAGCAGTGGTTTCCCAGCCACCACTGCTGCGCCCTTTTTTCACCAAGGCTGTGCGGGCGTTCAGCTCAAAAAAAACCATGTGGCCCCGTTAGCGACTGGCCCTCGGCTTGCTCCCCCCCTCGGGAGGGACAGGGCGATGCGCCCTCGGCCTGCTGCCCCTCCCCCTGCTGCATCGTCGGCCCTCGGCGCACCCCCGTCGACTGCACCCATCGGAGTGGCCTCTCGCCGGAGAAACACTTTTGGTGCGGGCCCACCGGGGTTCCCCCGATCGAACGCGATGCGACAGCGGCGTCTTGCGCGCTTGTGCGTTGGCCCCCCCGCGGCCCCCAAGGAGCCGCGCACCACAGGTCACTCTTGCCCAGGGCCACTCCTTACGTGTTGCCGACCCCGCCCGCTCGGACGGCCCGGGGGGCGCCCCGAATCGTCGGCCCTCCGTCAGTCGAAGTCCCACGCCCCGCGTCAAGAGCGTGACCGAACGCGCTGGGAGCACCTGGTAACGCCCTCGAGGGGATCCAGGATCACGCAGGATCCAGGATCACGCCACATCCGCCGCTCCGAACTGTCAGCTGTCGCCCCCCCCCCCGTGGCCTCCAAACAGCCGGGGGGCCAACGAGAATTGTCAGCCCTCGCTGGGCCGAGCTCCTGGACCTGCCAGTGTGGGGGCACTTCGGCCGGCGAGACGTGTATCGTGCGAGCAGACGTGTTGCAAGAACATAAGTACGCGCATATACGCATATACGCAGCTTAGCCACATACATTTATTTGTACATGCGCGTAATTACGTTCCGTGCTACGCGTATGGGAAATAACCCAAAAATGTGCAGTGAGGGTTTCGGACTTCCCATCTAAGGAAAGTGGGACCCGGTGTCGGGTCGGCCGACTTGTGGCCGCCCGCCGTCGTCCTCCGCCGCCGTCCGTCGCCGCCATTTGCGCGTGCTTTTCGTTGTTGTGCGTTGCCGCGAACTGTTTTGCATTGTTTTGCGATGACTTGCATGCATGACACACATACATGAGCATGCACATGTGTCGTACACGGCCTACATACATGTGCACCCCCATACGAACATACACATACATATACACATACATCTACATTTACATAGACATACACAAGTATACCTACGTGTACATAATGATCGACGCATTACTATACACATTCATATACACATACACATACGTTTACAAACACATTTACGCATCTACATACATACACACATACAAGTGCACTTACATCTTCATACGGTTATACATATACATAAACATATGCATACACACATACAAGCACATACGTACTCATGCATATACATATACATATGTGCAACAAAGTATATATTTATATACATATACAGATGCGTACTCTCTATCACACATATATATATATGCATACGCATGAATCTGCACAATCAAATGTGCATCTGCTTTTCCATATACAGATACACATATATACGCATACACAAGTGTACTCATACATACACATGCATATGCCTTCCCATATACAATTACACATCAATATACATATGTATTTACACATACACAAACGTAACCATATACATACACATACACATATACATATACATATACACACATGGACAAACACACATATATACATACACCTATATAGATATGGCCTTCGGTCAATACCGCCACCGTGCCTTGATGGTTGGAAGGGGAGTGGTGGATGCCTCTCACGTTTTCTTGGCGGACGAAGTACCGTTTCAGGCGTGTTCTTTATGTCCCTCCATAGACAACAATCAGGTACCACTTGAGGCATGTCGCCTGCATGTGTCAAATGGAACCGATCAAGTGCCACTTAAAGCATGTCGTCTGTATGCTTAAAGTGGTACCAAGTGGTAGCAGAGCAGTACCACTTGCGGCATGTCGTCTGTATGCCTCTCGGGGGCCTCTTGGAGACAGCTTGGAGGCCTCCTGGGTGCCGTTTGGGGGCCTCTTGGGGCCTCTTTTGGGTCGTTTGGGGCCTCTTGGGGCCTGGCCTCTTGGGGGCCCCTTGGGAGCCTCTGGGGGCCTCCTGGGCGCCTCGTGGGGCCTCCTGGGGGCCTCTTGGGGTGGGAGGCTCGGATTTTCGATTTGCGTTCCCTCTCTGGAGCCCCTTGTGGGGCCGCTTTGGGGCCCTCGTGGGCAATTTTTTTTGGGCGCCTCTTGGGCCTGGGCGCTCTTCGGCCGTCTTCGGGCCTTCCTTGAGGCCTCTTGGGCCGTTTTGGAGTGTCGGAAAGCGGACGAGAATGTCAATGATTTTTGCCTCTCGGAGCCCTCTTGTGATGCCTCCTGGAAGCCTCTTCGGCCGTATTGGCGGCCTCGTGGGCCGTATTGGGGCCATCTTTGGCGTATTCGGGCGATCTTTGGGCATCTCGGGGCGCTCTTGGGCCGTCATGGGGGCCTCTTGGGGTCCTCTAGGACCGTCTTGGCGTTTTTTTGGGTCCGGAAAAGTCATGCGGGGTGATGCGCCGGAGCCCGAGAGATTTGGCAATTTGGGTTCTGGGCCTTTTGGAAGCTCTTCAGGACTGAGGACTGAGGCTCAGAGGATTCGGCAAAGGACCTGAGGACACGCCCGCTCAGCGCCCAGAGGCACAGTGACGGATACACACACTCACACACACACACACACATATATATATATATATATATAGATATAATGTATATGTATGCATATATGTGTGTATAAATGTATGTGCACACGTGCATGCATACATGCATACATACATACACACATACGTGCATACATGCATGATGAATACATGCGGACATATACACATACAACGCACACGTATCTACACAGGCATACATACGCACGTGCATAATAACACACAGACTAACGTTTTAACACACATGTACGTGCATACGTATATAAATCCATGCATGCGTGCACCTTCACGCGTGCACGCATATACGCGTACAGAACTACATGCGTGCATTCGCACATCTTAGATATAATTGCGCCGCATCGGTTGTACCGCATATGTTGCACCACGTATATTGCATTACGTAAATGACACCATGTAGACACGAATTATTCATTGTTTCGGGTCTACGCTGGTTAACATAGTTTGTACTGTCGCTAGTTAGCTCCGCCGTCGGCAGATTACGTGGGTCTCTATCGCTTGCATGCTCCGTCCTCGACAAGGAGCATGCGAGTTCCTGTCGCTGGCAGACACCTTCCCCAGAAGATAGGCCAGCCCAGCGGGCCAAAGGCGTGCCAGAATCTCCAGTAACAGGTTATTGCATCATTTCTTCTTCGCGCGCGGGGCAGCCCTTGGGGGCCCCCAGCCGAAAAGTACCCCTGGTCTTCTCCGGGCACGGATGCCGGAGTTCCCTGGGGGCGGTCTTCCAGCCGCCAAGATCGCCCCAGGATCGCCCAGGGGACCCCAAGGGGAGCTCCAGCAGGGCTCAAGGGAGAGGAACGGTTGGACGCTCCAGTAGGGCCCGAAGACAGTCTCCATCATGCCTTGGGATCGCCCAAGATAGTCTTGAACAGCCCCAAGAGAGCCTCCAGATGCTAAGTGCCATTTTGCTTTGATTTCTCCAGGATTTGACGTCACTGTCTTCTCGAGCTTCCGATTGCCGCAGACGGCCCAGGAGGCCTCCAGATCGGCCTAAGACAGCCCAAGAGGCGTCCAGGACGTGCCCGAAACGGCCCAAGAAGGCCCCAAGACAGCACAAACGGCCCCCCAAGAGAGCTCCAGAGGCTCCCAAGAGGTCCCAAGAAGGGGAATGCGACTTCACATTTTGTGCCCTTCCCCCAAAGATGACCTCCGAGACTGCCAGAGGGCCCAAGAGGCCCCCAAGATCCAACAAAGGGGCCCAAGAGGCCCTTACGGTTTCAACAAGAGGCCCCACGAGCCCCCTAAAATGCTCCCGCGAGCACGCAGACAAGTAGTTTGGGGAGCCTTGTGGAGGCTTCTTTTTGGGGCCTCTTCGGCGCCTCCCGAGGGCGTGCTGGGAGCTTCCTGGGGACCCTTTGGGGGCCTCTGGGGCTGATGGGTTCCCAGGGGCCCGATATGGAAACGCCTCCTAAGCGCCCGAGGTGCGCAGGTTTTCTGGCAGATTGGTCTCGGGGCACTCAAAGCATCCTGCACTCCCTCTTACACTCACACCAGTTCGGGGGCGGCAAAGAGGGGGGTGATGACTAGGGGGGGGGGGTGGATATCATGGCGGGGGCCATGATATTTCCTCCGATTTTATGGCGCCTCTTCTTACTTTATTCGTCCCTGGCCCCCCCGCTGGGCCGCGCACATGCCGCCGGTCATGATTTGCACCCCCCCCTCTTGGACATCCCCCTCTTGGCCGCCCCCGAATCAGTGTGAGCCTCGGGGCACTCCACTGCGTGCTGAAGCCACGGTGGCGGACAATTGAACGTCTCTGTTCTCGGCGAGCAACGTGGGTTTCAATCGCCAGCACGTCCTGTTCTCGGCAAGTCGCGTCGTTCTCTGGCGCTGGCAGGCTCCATTGCGCATTCACTGTGCACAAAGTTGAGCCGAAGCTATACTTCTATATATGCATGCCAACGCACATACGTTATGGCCAAAGAGGGGGTAAGAGACTAGACACCACAGCATTGAACAATTGGCTGCCTCGATTTGTTCGTGACGCCGAGGTGTGAGGATGTGAGGGCTTCTTCTTCCTCCTGCCTCCCTGGAGGCCGACAACCACCGGTGCTGCTTCACCGTGTTCTTCGGCGACGCGAAGCTGCAGCCCCCACCGTCTCCCACAGAGCTTGGCCTGGACACGGCAGGCAACGTGCTTCCTGGCCTCGGGGGGGGGTAGCAGAAGAAGGGGAGAGGGAGCAGAGGGGCGCGGGTACGGTAGGCTCGTGCCGCCTCAGCGCGGCGGCGACGCTGGCGCGGGCCTTCTTGGTTGAGCCTCCAGGGGCCCGTTCTGGGCTCCAGGGCCCCGAGCAGCGGACTACGGCGCCAAGTCCATAGGATCGAGCGCGTCGACAGCCTCTGGGGACCTCCGGGAGCGGAGATCGTTCAAGATTCAAGCAGCTCTCGCGGTGTCAGTAATCAAGGCTCACGTCACGAAGGACGGAGGCAAGACAATGCCACAAGCGGGAGGAGGGGTGAGGGAGGATTCGAGAGGCAGGGTTGAAGAAACGATCCGACAGAAGGTGTCCTAAAGGAGTGGGAAGCGAAATACTACAGTCACATGTGGAGGTAAGCAGGCGTCGTGCGAGCCTTGCCCGCCCTGCCCATGACCTTCTGTTTAGTACGCCTGGTAGTTTTTCGAGACATGCCCCACCCGCCACACAAGAGTATGCCTTGACTCTTGCTGAACATTCTCGTTAACAAGTCGAAGCTCTCTCTCCTAACACATCCTACCATTGTTCTGACATCCGAAACACCGGATATAAACACCGGATATGTAGAGTCCTGTTCAGTTTGACTTGATCTTTCCCCGTAATAGGGCGCAGGCCGCAGTTTCTGCCTCGGTGTCCCTAAGTCCCCCTGAGTGTGTAGAGCGTTTGTAAGCACAAGCAGGGAACAAATGAAAAATGACGGGGAAATGAGGAAAACGGAAAGATGAGGAGGGGGATCATAGAGGACGACGAGAGGAGGAGGAGGAGAAGGAGGAGGAGGAGGAGGAGGATCGTGAGGACCACGTCATATTTCTTTCCACTTCTCCCGCACGATGGAGGGGCGACACAATCTGGATTACATCACCACAGCGTGTCGCAACTTGCTGGCGAATCTCCGAATTGGCTCGCTTGCGGCGCAGTGTTTCACCAAGTTAAGCTGAAAGTCGTTCATGAACGTGCGGGCAGGAGCCTCCGCTATATAATCGTGTGCGAGAATATTTTTTAGGCATTTTGAATTTGCTATCTGAGGCTATCTGGGGCAAGACCATCAAGCAGTGTCTCTGTTGGGGACCTGTTCTGGCCGTTTCCCGTTGTGGCCTGGTCTGTTCGTGAGGGATCTTGTCTCGGCTGATCAACTGTTGTGCTCTCGCCTCGCTCGGTATGCTTGGTTCAGTGCAGCATATTCTTGTCGTGATGTTCTTTCCGCAACATCCATGCACATCGAATGATTACCTCATCCTCAAGCACTGTCTGCCACCATAGCGAGGCTGCGCCACAGCGTGAGAGGAAGGGCCGCGTCGTGGCTGCCTAATTGCCGAGTCCACGAGCCCGTGCGCAGACTCCACAAGAGGGGGCAAGGCAGGAAGTGACAAACACATGGTCTTGTCTTCTTCTGTGTGATATGGTACGGAGGGTCCGATTTTACCGAGCACTGCCGGGAAGGACCATGGCAGGGGGTACGCGAGGAGCGGGCGAACAAAGACGAATTTTGAGCGCAGCCGTCCCCTCACGAAGAACTCAGCCGAGAGAGATTCTCCACAGCGACGCTCCCGAGAGGTTGCTGAGAGGCTCCTACGCTGCCCTGGAAAAGTAATGCATATTTATTCGTCCATCTGTATCTTTTCCTTGCCTTCGGGTTTCGTCGTTTTTGGCCTCCGGGGCCCGCTTTCGGGCCCCAGGACCGTCAGGCACGGACCCGGTATGAAAAGCTACCCTCGGGGCAGTCCCCTGCACGATTCATCGACGCGTCCTGCAAGAGTTACATTCCTTTTCTAGGGGGGTGTAGGAGGCTCCCAAGGGGATTCAGGGAGAATCCTGAGAGGCCCCTGGAAACGTCTTGAGCGTGCTCGCACAACAAATGTTGAACTCATACAGAGCAAGTTGTGCACGAACAACATTAAGTTGTCGGTGCGCAATTTTTGATGCTTATCAGAGGCTTCGGAACACACGGGGAGACGCAAATTCGGCATGCAAATGCGCATTGCGTGCCGTGGCGGTGTCGGAGAGCGCGGGGGACCCAAGTTCTTATCCCCACCAACTACGACGCCGCGCGGGTGTCCGCTCGCGTTCGCGATCAAAAAAGTATCCCCACCAACGGGCTCCCTCTTTGGCCGTAATTTAGAGCTTGGCGCGGCTGCCTTTTCTCTTGACGGCTCGCGGTTGGACTGCGACGCTCGCGAACGAAAAGTATCCCCACCAGCTGTTTTATCCTTCGCTACTGCGCGGTCCGCCCTCGCTTGCTCGGCGTTCGACTTGGCTTCGCGTGCCAGTGTACCAACAAGTATCCCCACCAGCACATTCAGAAACGTGGCCCATGAGAGTTGACGGGAGCGAATGGAAGAGACACATATGGTGAAACGAAGCGGGCAAGGAGAGGAGGGGCTTTCTCGGGGACCCTCTTGGGGACAATGGGTAGGAGGACGAACAGGAGGCGGAGGAGGAGGAGGAGGAGGATGAGGAAGACGACGAGGGCAAGGACGGTGACGGGGACACGGACAAGGAGGAGGAGGAGGAGGAGAAGGAGGAGGAGGAGGAGGCGGAGGAAGAGGAGGAAGAAGAGGCGGAAGAGGACGACGACGAGGAAGATGACGACGACGAAGACGAGGACGAGGGCGATAAAGAGGAGAACGAGGATGAGGATGAGGAGAAGGAGGAAGAGGAGGAGGATGAGGAGGAGGAGAGCAACGATGACAAAAACTCTTTCAGCCATCTTGGGGTCTTCTTGGGAGCATTTTTTGGGTTCTTTTGGGGTTTGCTTTAGGTTCTCTTGGGGCCCTCTTGGGGGTGTCTTGGGGCCCTCTTGAGGCTCTCTTGGGGGCAGTCGTCCAGCTATGGGTCTCCCATGATTTGGAATTATGGGAATATTGAAATCACTACAGACATGTGTTTTTTTCGTGGTGATGCTAGGTTTCCCACAATTCGCAGGCCTTCGGCCTGCGAGTTATGGGAAACCCGTGGCCGGACGACTGCCGGGGAACCTACTTGGACCTCGACCCCCCCCCCAGGGGCCTCTTCCCGGGGTGTCCCGAAATTCGGAATTCGAATTATGGGAAACGAGGAATGATCACAACAACTATTCTTTATGTTTGATGTTTCCAGGTTTCCCATAACTCGGAATTCCGAATTTCGGGAAACCAAGGGGGAGAGGCCCCCGGGGGAGCCGAATTTCGGGAAACCTGGAACTTCACGAACAATATTTTTTTGGAGGTGGTTCCTGGCTTTCCACAGTTCAGGATTGTGGCAAACCTGGAATCACAGCAAAAAGGTAGGATTTTCGTCGTGATTCCAAGTTTCCCATAATTCGAGCCCCTTTTTTTGGGGATGGGAAACCTAGAGCCACAAACAAATGCGTTTTTCGTGGTGATTTCGGTTTTCCCGCAGTTCGACCCCCCGAGGGGCCTGTCCCCCCCCAGGTTTCCCGACATTCGGGGCAGTCGCGAACTAGGGCAAAAGCAATCATCACAACCAAAAAAGTTGGTCCCTGTGATGATTCTTCGTTTCCCAGGAATTCGGATTCCGAACTTCGGGAACCTGGGGGGGGAGAGGCCTCTTGGGGGGGTCGAGTTACGGGAGCCCTGGAGTCACAAAGGAAACAGTTTCTGTGGTGACTCCATGTGTCCCACAATCCCGAATCGTGGGGCAATTGCAATCCCACGAACAGTTTTTGTTGTTCTGATTGCCGGTTTCCTATACTTCCGAATTGCGGGAAGCCTGGAATCACGACGGGAAGCACGTTGTTTTGGTGGTGATTGCAGGCTCTCCCCATACCTCGAAGTCAGATTTTTTGGGGAACTGGGGGGCAGAGGCCCTTCGGGAGATCGAATTGCTGGAAACCTGGAACCACAACGAAGCACGCATTTTTGTGTTGTGGTTTCAGGTTTCCCATCAGTCAGTACTGTGGGAAGCCTGGACTCACCACAAAACAAATGAGTTTTTTTTTGGTGGCGATTGTAGGCGTACCATAAACTGAATTTCGAACTTCGGGAACCTCAGGGGGAGAGGCTCCTGGGGAGGTCGAATTGTGGGAAGCTTGTAATCGCCACAAAGGAGAAAGGGGTGAGTTTTGCTGATTCCAGGCTTCCCATAATTCGAATTCCGAATTTCGGGAAACTGGTGCTGGGAGAGGCCCCTGGGGAGGTCGAATTACGGGAGCCCCACCAAGAAGAGTGTTTTTTCTCTGGTGATTCCATATTTCCCATAATTCCGAGTGGTGGGACGCTTGAAATCCCACAAGCAGTTTTTTTTTGATGATTCCAGGTTTCCTATAATTCCGAACTATGGGAAACCTGGAACCACGCGGAAAAACATGTCTTTGTGGTGATTGCAGGTTTCCCATATTTCGAATTCCTAATTTTGGGGAAATGGGGGCAGATTCTTCTGGGGAGATCCAATCACTGGAAACCTGGAACCACAGCGAAAAAAACATTTTTGATGTTGTGGTTCCAGGTTTCCCATAAGTCAGAACTATGGGAAATCTGGAATCATCACAAAACAAGTGAGGTTTTTTTGTGTGGTGATTGCAGGCGTACCATAAACCGAATTTCGAATGTCGGGAACCTTAGGGGGAGAGGCCCCTTGGGAGGTCGAATTACGGGAAACTTGCAGTCACCACAACAAAGGGGAAGAAGGGGGGGTTTTTGGTGATTCCAGGCTTCCCATAATTTAATTTCGAATTTGGAGGGGCCCCTGGTGGGTGGAATTACGGGATACGTGGAATCACCACGAACACACCTGGACCACGAACACACTAGGAATTACGGAATACTTGGAATCACCATACTTCCGACTTGTGGGACACCTGGACTCACCACAGAGAAGGGGGGGTTGTGGTGATTTCAGGTTTCTCCCAGAAGTCGAAGTCCGAACTTCGGGAAACTGGACCTGTCGGGTGGTAGTCATCACGCTCTGGGGCCCGACCACAAGAAGCTTTCCACAAGAAACCCAACCCTGAGCCCCCAGGACGTCCATGTATTTTTGGTGTGGGAACTTCACGCTTTTAATAGCGAAACCATCGAAACCCAAGAAACCCAGGGCACCCTGGAGGCAAGCAGGGTGTTTCTTGGCATGGGCCTGCACAGCACTCTGCCTTCTCCGAAAGGTTGAAATGTTGGGAAACCCACAGCCGGACGGCAGCCCTCTTTCGGGCCCCCGTGGTGGGCTCCGCGAGGCCTGTTGGCGCCTTCCAGCAGGGCGTCGATCAGCGGAGGGGGGGTCCTCGATTTCCCTCCCCCCTCTGGGGCCATCAACATCGCCTCTTGGGGCGCTCTTGGGGCGCTCTCTTAGGCCGATCTTGGGCGCTCTTGGGGCCGTTCTGGGGGCCTCTTGGGCCCATCTTGGGGGTCTCTTGGGCCATCTTGGGGCCATCTTGAGGCCCCAGAAGCCCATCGGAAGGAAAAGTCGAGAAGACACACATCATTCATTTCCCTGAGGCTTTTTGATGGATTCGCGTCTCTTCGGGGGGTCCTGGGGGTGGCCCCAAGAGCACTTGAAAACGTCTTGTGGCCATCATGGGGCCTAATGGAGGCATGTTGGAAGCCATCTTGAGCCATCTTAGGCTATCTTGCGTCATCTTGGAGGCCATCTTCAAGCATCGGACGCCCTCTTGGAGCCGTCTTGGGCCATCTCGGGTGCTCTGACCGCTCGCGAACCCCCCCAAACACCTCATGGAGAGGAGGGGGAGGATACCCCTCCGAGAAGGGAATAGGGTTTTGGAATAGCAAAGAACGACATCGTTAGACCACCCACGCCCAGAGGGCTGGTGGGACTCGGTATGGGATTGCGCATTGCGTACCCAGTTTCTGTATCCCAGTCTACCGTGCCCTGGTGGTGTCGGAAGGCGCGGGGAGACACACACTCGGTGTGCAAATTGTGCACTGCGTGGCGAGTTTGCGTCTCCCGGCCTCCCCCTGCCACCGTGGTGTGCGGGGGGGGGGCGCGGGGAGACGCAGATTCGGCATGCAACTGCCGTCATGGCCGCGGCAAGGCACGGTAACATGAGTACGCTGTACGGGTACGGCAGCAGGACCTTGGCACCCGTAGCGGCACTGGTACGGTTGCACGAGTCTGTCTCCCCAGAAAACATTGGCTCTTCCCAACCTAAGACGCCCCCCCACCCCCCAATCCCCCCAATCGGCCGACCGTCTTCAGAGTTCTTCACCCCTCCGATCCCCCCGGCTCCCCCGCCCGATACAGTGTGCCACCGAGGTGGCAAGAATTCGAGGGGGGTCCCGAGGTGGGTCAGGAATTCCAGGGGGGAGGGCAAGATCTCGACGAGAGAGCTGCACTTCTTTTCCATGGGGGCGCAGGGCACGGGGCGGGGGAAGACGCCACCGACCTCCAGGGCCTCTGCCGGGCTGCGTTCCGACGAGGACCTCGAGTGGAGCCCAGCCGCGGGCCACGAGAGCCGCCACGGGAGGGACGGAGATGGTCCAGATCGTCTACAGCTTCGGCCCTCGAATCTCGATCCTCGATCCTCCTGTGCACGGGGGCAGGAGCGGGGGCACCGCTGAGGTCCCCTGCTCCTTCTCTCCTCCTCCTCCTCCTCCTCTTCCTCCTTCTCCTCCTTTTTTCTCCTACCTCCTTCTTCCCCGGGCCCCCCCCGTTTAGTTTCGTAGCGGCCTGGAATGTGCCTGTCCGTGGAGGCAATCGTGCACAGGGAGGAGGACACGGCGTGGGACAGCACACGAAAATTTCCGTCACTCCTCTCGAGGCATCTCGATCATTGTTTCACTCGGAGGAGGACGAGGAGGAGGAGGAGGAGGAGGAGGAGGAGGAGGAGGAGGAGGAGGAGGAGGAGAAGTGGAAGGGGGACCTTTTGTGGCTCAGGACAGCTTTAAAAACCTCCCTGGTCAAAGGACCAACCATGCTACAGGCCAGGACGTCCGCATGATCTGGTCTCTGTCCGTTCCTTGCACGGCGTCTGGCGATCTCCACGTCCGCCATGATAAGGAGAGGGAGGTGGAAGGAGCGGGCGCGCCCGAGAGCGGCCCGGGGCAGACGCCACGTTGCCGTTGCTCACCGGCAGCGTCGACGAGTCGGCCGCGGCGGAGCCCGCCGCGAAGCCGACGGCAAGCAGAGGAAACTTGGGGAGAATAGAGGTCGTCGTCGTCGTCGCCGTCGTCGTCGTCGTCGTCGTCGTCGTCGGCGCCGTCGGCGTCGTCGCTGCCGTCGGCGTCGTCGTCGCTCGTCGTTGTCGTCGCTCGTCGTCGTCGTCGTCGTCGACGACGTCGTCGTCGCTGCCGTCGGCGTCATCGTTGCTCGTCGTCGCTCGTCGTCGTCGTCGTCGTCGTCGCCGTCGGCGTCGGCGTCGTCGTCGTCGTCGTCGTCGTCGCTCGTCGCCGCCGCCGCCGTCGCTCGTCGGCGTCGTCGTGGTCGACGTCGTCGTTGCTCGTCGTCGTCGTCGTCGTCGTCGTCGTCGTCGACGTCGCCATTGTCGTCGTCGTCGTCGCTCGTCGTCGGCGTTGTCGTCGTCGTCGCTCGTCGTCGCTCGACGTCGTCGTCGTCGCTCGTCGTCGCTCGTCGTCGTCGCTCGTCGTCGTCGTCGTCGTTGCATTCGTCGTCCTCGCTCGTCGTCGTCGTCGTCGACGTCGTCGCTCGTCGTCGACGTCGTCGTCGCTATTGTCGTCGTCGCCGTCGTTCGTCGTCGTCGTCGTCGTCGTCGTCGTCGCTGTCGTCGTCGTCGTCGTCGTCGTCGTCGTCGTCGCTCGTCGGCGTCCCCCGTAGTTGTCGTCGTCGTCGTGGTCGTCGTCGCCGCCGCCGTCGCTCGTCGCCGCCGTCGTCGCTCGTCGTCGCTCGTCGTCGTCGTCGTCGTCGTCGTCGTCGCTCGTCGTTGTCGTTGTTGTCGTCGTCGTCGTCGCCGTCGCCGTCTCTCGTCGTCGTCGTCGTCGTCGCCGTCGTCGTCGTCGCCGTCGTCGTCGTTGTGGTCGCTCGTCGTCGTCGTCGTTGTCGTCCCCTGTCGTCGTCGTCGTCGTCGTCGTCGTCGTCGTCCCTCGTCGGCGTCGGCCGTAGTTGTCGTCGTCGTCGTTGTCGTCGTCGCTCGTCGTCGTCGCTCGTCGTCGTTCGTCGTCGTCGCTCGTCGTCGCTATTGTCGTCGTCGTCGCTCGTCGTCGTCGTCGTCGTCGTCGCCCGTATTTGTCGTCGTCGTCGTCGCTCGTCGTCGTCGCTCCTCTTCGTCGTGTTCGTCGCCGCCGACGCTCTTCGTCGTAGTCGTCCCTCGTCGTCGTCGCTGCCGCCGCCGTCGTCGTGGTCGCTTGTCGTCGTCGTCGTCGTCGCCGTCGTTGTCGTCGTCGTTGTCGTCGTCTCCGTCGTGGTCGCTCGTCGCTCGTCGCTCGTCGTCGCTCGTCGTCGTCGTCGTCGTCGTCGTCGTCGTTGTCGTCGTCGTCGTCGTGGTCACCTATTGTCGTTGCCGCGGTCGTCGTGGTCGTCGTCGTCGCCGTCGTCGTCGCCGTCGCCGTTGTCGCTGTCGTCGTCGTCGCTCGTCGTCGCCCAACGTGGTCGTCGTCGTCGTCGACGTCGTCGTCGTCGTGGTCGCTCGTCGCCGTCTCTCGTCGCCTATCGTCGTCGCCGCCACCGCTCGTCGACGCCGCCGCTCCTCGCCGCCACTGCTCTTCGACGTCGGGGCCCTCGGCGGCCGTCGGCGGGGCCCGCGGCGCGCGCGCGGGCCCGCGGCGCTCGCCGGCTCCGCGCGGGCCCCGCCCGGGCCGCTCTTCCGGGGGCCCCGCGGCGGGCTCGGCACGCGCGTGGCCCGCCGCACGTCGGGTCTCGGCGTCGCGGCGCCGCCGTCGTCCTCGGCGCCCCTCGCCGCCGCCGGGGGGGCTCCCGGGGCGGCGCGGGGCGCGGCCGCGCGGGCCGGGACGCCCCGAGGAGCGTCGGCGACGAAGGGCGCCTCCAAGCGGGAGGACCACCCGCGCCGCTGCCTCTGCTCGGCTGGCCGCCTCGCTCGGCCCCTCTCTCTCTCTCTCGGCCCTCTGCTCGGCCGGCCCCTCCCTCGGCCCCATCCTCGTTGGGCCGCCTGGAGCCGCTGGCCCCGACCTCCGACGTTCTGTCTGTGTCCACTCTTGGCTCTTCAGCTCATGATGCTTCTTGTTCCTGTGGTTTGTGCTTTCATCTCCACGCCTCGTTCTTGATTTTCCTCTTTGTAGTTCTTATGGTGTTTCATATTCCTCTTCCTCGCATCAATGCTTTCCGTATTATTATTATGGTTGTTGTTGTAGTTGTTGTTGTTGTTGTTGTTGTTGTTGTTGTTGTTGTTGTTGTTGTTGTTGTTATTTGTATTCGTATTATTTTATATTTGTTATTAGCAATTTTGTTTTTTACTATTACCCCAGTGCGACCCTACCTAGAAGTTAGAGCCCCCCTTAGGAAAGCAGCATTAGTTGCTATGCTATGCTATGCTGCGCTATGCTATGCTATGCTATGCTATGCAATGCTATGCTATGCTATGCTTTGCTATGCTATGCTATGCTGCGCTATGCTATGCTATGCTATGCTATGCGAAGCTATGCCATGTCATGCTGCGCTGTGCTATGCTAAGCTATGCTATGCTATGCTATGCTATGCTAAGCTGCGCTATGCTATGCTATGCTATGCTATGCTATGCTACGCTCTGCTATGCCGCGCTATGCTATGCTATACTATGCTATGCTTGGCTATGTTATGCTATGCTATGTTATGCTAATGCAGCGATGCGCTATGCTAAACTAAGCTAAGCCAAGATAAGCTAAGCTAACCCTCGAGGCAGAGCCTAGGTAGGTATGGGTAAGGGGACGTAGCTGGGGGAGCCGCGGGGCGGATACTGGGGGAACCGCCGGGGGCGCTTTCCACTGCCCGGCCCTTTAAGCCCAGAGAGTAAGAACCCTTCTAGGCAGAGCCTAGGTCGGGAATTGCCCGTATTAGTATTCTTATCACCATTCGTATTATTCTCTTTTTTATTATCATTCTTGTTATTCTTCTTCTGATTGTTATGATTAGGCTATTCTTATTATCATCATTACTAGCATTGAATTATGATCATCATTGCCTTATCTTTGTTATTCGCATTATTATTTTTGGTTCTTCCTCTCTGATCTCCAGCGTTGACGTACGTTTCCAGAATTTCGGTAATGGAGTCGCCAACGAGACGACTCCGGGTGAAAGCTAGCCCCCGGGGGAAGGGGGTGAGAGATCCAGAGGCGCATGCATCAGGTCTGGGAGCTACCCTGCGACCCGCCCAGGTTCGCGAGAAGGCCTTGGCTGATTTTAGCACCGATCTGGCTCAGGTCGCTCGAGAGTGGTTTTGTCAAGGCTTGGGCCACAACTCGAGCCCCCCCGTCCCGCAGTGCGCCCCCAGCACTGCCACAACACGCGCGCTCGTTGCGGGGTGGGGTCGGGCGCTACGATATGTTCCCTCCCCTGGCCTACCCCCATCCCTCCCTAACGCACGCCGTGGCCATGAACGAGAGGATGCTCGCCGTCGTTGTCGTCGTCCTCGTCGTCGTCCTCGTCGTCGTCGTCTTCCTCCTCGTCCTTGTCGTCGTCCTTCTCGTCGTCGTCGTCATTCTCGTCGTCGTCGTCGTCGTCGTCGTCGTCGTCGTCGTCGTCGTCGTCGTCGTCTTGGTCTTTGTCTTTGTCGTTGTCCTCCTGCTCCGCCTCCTCCTTCTCCTCCTCCTCCTCCCTGGCTGGCTGCCGCAGGGGGGAGCCCCCTCTTCCCACCGGGTGGGAGGTGGGCGACTCTCACGGCGAGGGCGCCCTCTCCCGGTCTGGGGAGCTGCCTTCCGCTCGGGGAGGGGGGGGGGGGCGGGGCGGCGGTGGCGGGCAGGCGCGCTCGGAAGTGTGGCACCTGCCTGCGCTTCGGGCGTCCAGGTGGCCGGCCCTCGTCCCCGTGATTCGGCGGCCAGCCCCGGGGGGAGGGGCGAGAGGGGGTGGGCCCCCTCAGCAGGCTCGGGAGCCCTCGGGCCTCCTGGGATGTCTTCGAGGCCTCCCCCGAGGACGCAGAAGACCTCCCCGAAGGCGGGAGGGCTTCCGGGAAGCCCCGCCGCCTTCTGAGAGGACCTCCTCCTCCTCGCTTCCCCCCCCCCTCGCTGGCCGCCGGGCGATGTTCTGGGTGTGCCCATGGTCGACTTCTGGAGCGGAGAGTCCGGGGCGCACTCTCCTCGCCTTCGGTCGCTCTGACGCGTCTTCGCGGTTTTCGTGTCTCTCGCGCAAGGCTTAGGTCGGGCACGTCCCTCTACAGGAGGAATATTCAGAGCTAGCCAACAAAACCCAGTACAGGGACGATTATTCTGGGGTATTGTTGTGACTATTTTTTATGCTTTCCTGCAAAATCTGCCTGTATGGGGGACCTGCGCGACCCACTGCAAGGCTTACATCAGCGAGGGGCCCGCTGGTTCTGCTCGGCGCGCAGGGCTGGCCGCAGGCCACGAGAGAAAGAGAGAGGGAGAGAGAGAGAGCGCGCAGGGATGGGTGCAGCCTGGCTCTTCGACGCCGCCGCCCCCGGCCAGGGTCGGCCACGCGCAGAGGGTCGGCAACTACAGAGGGTATGGTTACGCCGGGGTGCGGTGTGCGATCGGCACCGTTGGGGCCTGGGGGGGCGCGGCACTGTCGTCGTCTGGCCTCCTCGGGGCGCGGGAGAACTCTATCGAGGTCCCCGCGCGCCCCCCAGGGTGCCCCCCAGGATGTTCCCCAGTGTGCCGGTTGCACACCACACCCTTTGGAGTCGCCGAGAGGGGGGAGGGGGGGAGGGCTTCTCAGGAGGGAGCTTTGCAGGGAGGGTTTTTCTTCCAGTATCGTTGGTGATTCTTGGGCTTGCACTGGTCCTCCTCCCCCCTCCTCCTCCTCCCCCTCCTCCCCCCCCTCCTCCCTCCTCCTCCCCCTTCTTCCCCGGACATGGGCAGTGTTTGGGACGTCGTGTGGTCTGCTTCGTTTCAGCCACGCGCAGAGGAGGGTCGGGGGAGGGGGGAAGGCTCCTTAGAAGCAACCCGGCTCCTTCGAAGGCGCGGGCCTTGCCTATTAGATGCAAGGCCGGCGCCTTCTAAGAAGCAGTCTCCCTCTGAGAAGCCCTCCCCCCTCCCTCCACCCCCACTGTGCGCGCCGCCAATATTCAGGAGGGAAAGAACACACACACAATTACTGTAATCTTCGATTCCCCAGAAAATATGGGGAAATATGGGAAGTGGGGGCAAGACAGAAACCCAGAAAATGTGGGAAAATATGGGGGATCTTTTTATTTGTGTGTATTCATTTGTGTGTCCCAGGGCCCCTTCAAATATGGGGCGGCGGGGTTGCCGCGGACGGCCTCGCTTTCGCTTGAACCTCGATGGCAGGGGGGGAGGTCTGCGGCAGGCTCGTGCCGTGCCGCCCCGCGGCGACCACCCCGCCGCTCGGCGCTCGACGCCTGCACGCCGCCGGCGACCCCGAAATCGCTCGGTGCGGAAGGATCTGACGCCTCGGAGGCGGCCGATCGGTCAGGATGGAACTCAGGAGGGAAAAGACACACAGACACAATTGATCGTCGACTCCCAGGAAAATATGGGAGAATATGGGAAGTGAGGGGGAAAACCGATCTGACGCTGCGGAAGCGGCCGATCGCTCAGGATGGAACTCGGGAGGGAACAAAAACACTTTTGATCCGCGGGTCGAGAGCGCACCTCGTCCCGTCGAAGCTGAGCGGGCCGCGCGAAGCTTGAATTAGGCAGAGAAGAGGAGGGAGGAAGCGGCGGAGCCTCAGAGCGAGGCCGAGAGGAGGCATAGCCTCGGATACAGGAGGGAAAAAACACACAGACACAATTCATCGTCGACTCCCAGGAAAAGATGGGAGAATATGGGAAGTGGGGGGGGGGGAAGACGAAAACCCCCTTCTATTTGTGTGTCTTTATTTGTGTGTCCCAGGGCCCCTTCAGAGATGGAACGGTCCCCGCGGCGTCCGGAGCCAACGCCGCAGTCGGCACGGCACCGACCCGGGCAGGTCAGGCCCCGACACGGGGGCAGGCGCCTCGGGCAGGCGGGCCCGCGGCTGTGAGTCCGGGCCCTGCGTCGTGAGTATCTGCACGCACGAAATGGGTACTGAAAGAATGGGTACAATGCCCAACAGCGGATCTTGTTCAGTTTGAACAGGGCTCGCTGTCCACGCCGCCGCGGCCTGTGTCCATTCGAGACAGGAGGCCGCCTGCCCAACAGCGGCCGCTGTTGGTTTGGGACAACATTTGCTGTTGGGCATAGTACCCATTTTTTCGGTACCCATTTCGGGCGTCCAAAGAGTAGACGCAGGGGCCACCCGGAGCGGATGGCCGACGCATGGGGCCCCCTCGCTTAGGTACTATGGGATCTGCTGGACCCTCGTCCCTGGTTCGACTCCGGTTCGACTCCAGCTCGACTCGAGCTCGAATCGTTTACGACGCAAGTCGACGTACGGTTGGCACAGCATCGGCGCACGAGTGGAGCGAGTGGCTGCAGGAATGTCCCGAGGACGAGCACCTAATATTAGCGCCCTTGCCAAACCTCCACCTCGTGCCCTCTTTCTTTCTTGCCCAAGCCGCCGAGCGCTCGCGCTCGTAGCGTCAGTCGGCGTCGGCGCCCCCGCCCGCTGGAAGGCCTCCACGGGCAGTGAGAGCTCCAGGTGCTGCGCAGCAGGAGTGAGAGGCAGATGGCGAGATCCCCTCCTCATCCGCCTCCATTATCGTCATCAACACCTCCATAACCAAAGCCACCAGCCCGGTGGCAGGAACCTCGTGCCCTCCCTCTTCAAGGGAGGAAAAACCACCCGGACCGGACAGTTGGCGCTTACTGAACGGCCCTGGGCGTTTACTAAACAGCCCTGCCCTGTTTGATTCCTCCTTTGGGAGCGTTTACCAGACGGCTTCGCGTGTCGGGGTGGTTCTTGTCGGGGCGGATTTTCTGCCCTCTGTCTCTCTCTCCCCCCGGTCTCCCCCGTCTGTGCCTGCCCCGACCCGGCGCCGCCGCCGGGCAGCCCGCCTCAGGAGTCGCCGCCCGCGGCTGGCAAGGCGCCGAAGGCGGCCGCGTCCAAGGCCGCCGTCAAGACGTCGAAGGCCGCCGCGCCGCGCCACGCGGCGCGGCGGGCGCGGCGGTCGCGGCGGTGGTCGCCGATCGAAGTTCCCGATCGGGAGAAAGCTGTACAAGCATACACTTCGCTGCTCTGATGCGCACGTTTTGGGACGTGGCACGTGCCGTGTTCAAAGCGTCCGCGCTCAACACGTCCGTGCTCCACACGAGAGAAGGCTGTAGAAACATGCATGTTTCATGGCGCCAGCATCGCAGAGCGGACCTCCTTCGGAGAACGACAGGCTGGGCCCGGAGTGTCCTGGAGAGTTTCGTTCTGGATTTCGCGGTGACTTTCGTGCGATTTTTTTGGGGGGGTGCCAGGAATGAAGACTCTAAACCAATCCACGCGAAATCCGCTTCGTTTTCCACGCGCCGCTTCGGGCTGAAATCCAGTCAGAGGTCCACGCAGAACTCCGCTGCAGCACGGCTGCAAGGCCGGTATAGTGACACTTTCTGAGGTCCGCGTGGATGTCTTGGGTTAAGTCGGGCCTGTCCCCCTACAGTGGGATTTTCGACGAAAAATAAGAAATACCCCAAACATGCTCAAAGAATACTCCGAAGATAGTCTGGGGACTCTTTTTTGATGATTTTTTGACCTTCTTGGGGTATGTTTCGGGTATTCTTTGTTTTTCGTCGAACATCCCCATGTAGGGGGACGCCCGACAGAAGTCTCGGGCCGGTGCCGCGCCCCCGTGGCGCGCCTTAAGGGCAGGGGGGGGGGCCCGGCGCCGACCCGGGCACCGGGCATCCGAAAGCGGATGCTTGTGCAGTGTTGGTGTTCCTCTAGGTTCGAGGGTCGAGGTTCCAGGATCGAGGTTCGAGGATCTAGGATCGAGTATCGAGGATCGAGGTTCGAGTATCGAGGGTCGAGGTTCGAGGATCGAGGTTCGAGGATCTAGGATCGAGCATCGAGGATCGAGGTTCGAGTATCGAGGGTCGAGGTTCGAGGATCGAGGTTCGAGGATCTAGGATCGAGCATCGAGGATCGAGGATCGAGGTTCGAAGATCGAGGTTCGAGGATCGAGGTTCGAGGATCTAGGATCGAGCATCGAGGTTCGAGGATCGAGGATCGAGGATCGAGGTTCGAGGTTCGGCGGTCGAGGTCTGAGGTCACTGCCGAGCACGGCTCGTGAACTTGGCCAGGACGGACTACTTCTAGGCCTCCTAGATGGGGTCGGAGTAGGTGAGGTCGGAGGATCGCGCCGCATCGCCGAGGCATCGGCGATGCATCGGCGGTGGGGCTCGATGTGGGGCCCAGCTTTCTCCACGCCCACGTTGCCGATGCATCGCCGACGTCGCCAGTGCATCGCCAATGCATCGGCGATACATCGGCGATGCATCGCCGATGTATCGGCGATGCGGTGAGCTCCTCCGACCCCATCTAGTCGGACCCCATGTAGGAGGCTTTTACGGCGGGAGCGGTCATGGGACAGACGTTAGAAGGAAACAATGAATGGACACTCCCCCTCTCGCCCTCTGTGCATCTCGTGCCTCCGTGCATTGTCATGTTTCTCTGCGATTGTACCGCTATCTGTATGTGTCTGTGCATTCTCATTCCTCTGTTGATGTCTTTTTCCTGCATCTTACATGTTTCACCTGCCTGGCGCTACGGCGCCCAGCTGCGACACCCTATCCGGCGACAGCTGCAGGTCCGATGTCCAATGTCCCCCTTTTCCCAAAAAATCAGAGTTGGCACTCGCGGGGAAGACCGCGGTCGAAGTGCAACTCATCAGACCCGCCGCGAACACTGACCAGGGGAGGGGGAACATTGATTGATGAATGGGACATGTGTGTTCGCCAGTTTTCTCCGACGCCAGGATCTTGAACGGATCTCGTCCAGACCCCGGGCGTTCAAGAACGAGAGATGACGGTATACTTTTTTCAGTCTTTTCTTATATATATATATATGTATTGATGTCTGTATGCATGTGTTTCAAGTTGTACATGCATTTATTTACTTGTTTATTCTTTATATCAATATAGCACTTTTCTCAGCCTTCGGCACTCTGGAGGCCCATTTTTTGTTCAGGGGGGACCATCAGAAGCCGGGGTGTGCGCCTGGACGTGGTCGCGTTGACAGACAAGCAGGGCGGGAGGAGTCTGGTTGTTTTCACTGTCTTCGGCCTCGGGCCCCGTCGGGCCCTGCGACGCTTCACACAGCGATTCGCGTCAAAGAGCAGGCCCCGCGGAAAGGGCCGGGGACCTCGAGGTACCCCGTAGGTAGGAACTGGGCCAGCGTTTCTTAACCAACCTGCTGGCGAGCTGGTCGAGTTTCCAGAGCACGTTCGTCCCTCCAGCGCGGTCAAGACATGGCCCAGGTCTGTTTTATGAAACTTCTGGAGGGCTGGCCCATGGTTCTGAAATCGTATTTTCCCGAGTCTCATTTTTGGCTGTGTGCGCATAGCTTCTCCCAACCTCTGTCCTCTATGGGCACGTTTCGGCACCCTGGGCCGTCAGAGCACGCGGCCCCCGGGATGGTAAGAGAAACGGCCCCTGGGGGATGTCGTCTTCGGGGGTCCCCCAGGTGTCACGACCATATCGTAGGGTCGGAGGTATGTAGGAGGCGGCCAAGAGGGGGGTGATGACTAGGTGCGTTCGGTCGCCCTCCTGCTCGATTTGGGCCCGTTGCGTAGGCTCAGCAAGGGCTTCCAGGAACACTCAGACGCTTGGGGGGCGTCCTGCAGGGGCGTCCAGGGGTCCCCAGTTCCACTGGTCCTTGTTGTCCAGATCCGGGGCCCGGGATTCGGGGGGTCCGATTTCGAAGCGGGTCCCGTATGATCGAAATAGATAAAATTGGAATATGGGCCGTGGGGTATCCCCGCCCCCTAGAGGAAAGAATTCTCCTGGCGAAGGTCCCAACCATATGCAGTTGTGGGTACTGCAATTGTGAATATCTTCTTCGGTGAAACTCCCAATGGGGCCACGAAGCGCTGCACTGGGTCGGGGGGAACGCATGCGGGCGGTAGCACTGGGGCCCTCGGTGGAGCTCCCTCCCTATGGGGCCACGAAACGCTGTACTGGGTGGGTGAAAATGCCAAATTGGGTATGTGGGACGCATGCGGACGGTCAAACTGGGGGCTTCGGTGGAGCCCCCCCATGGGGCCACGAAGCGCTGCACTGGGTGGGTGAAAAATGCCAAGTTGGGCTTTCGGGACGCATGCGGACGGTCCCACTGGGGGCTTCGGTGGAGCTCCCTATGGGGCCACGAAACGCTGCACTGGGTGGGTGAAAATGAATGATGTTTCCGGGACGCATGTGGGCGGTCCCACTGGGGAATTCGATGGAGCTCCTAATGGGGCCACCAAACGTTTTATTGGGTGGGTGAACATCCCAGATTGGGTGTGCGGGACGCATGCGGACGGTCCCACTGGGGGCTTCGGTGGAGCTTCCTATGGGGCCACGAAGCGCTGTACTTGGTGGGTGAAACTGCCGAAGTGGGTGTGTGGGACGCATGTGGGCTGTCCCACTGGGGGTTTCGGTGGAGCTCCTTAATGGGGCCACGAAGCGCTGTATGAGGTGGGTGAACATGTCAAATTGCGTGTGCGGGACGCTTGCGGGCGGTCCCACTGGGGGCTTTGGTGGAGCTCGCTTCGGGGCCACGAGGCGCTGTATGAAGTGGGTGAAACTGCCGGATTGGGCGGTCCCAGGCCACGAAACGCTGTACTGGGCGTGGCGAACGCATGTGACCACCCCTGCTGGGGCTTCCGATGGAGCTCCCTATGGGGCCACGAAGCGCTGTACTGGGTGTGGCGGACGCATGTGGTCCCCCCCACTGGGGACTTAGGTGGAGCTCCTAATGGGACCACAAAGCGACGTACTGGGCGTGGCAGACGCATGTGGTACCCGCCCCCTGGGGCCTTAGGTGGAGCTCCCTCTGGGGCCATGAAGCGCTGTACTGCATGTGCCAGACGAATGTGTTACCCCCCCCGTGGGGCCTTCGGTTGAGCTCCCTATGGAGCCACGCATCGCTGTGGGTGTGGAAGACGCATGTGGTACCCCCCCCCCCTGGGGCCTTCGGTGGAGCTCCCTATGGGGCCACGAAGCGCTGCACTGGGTGTGGCAGACGCATGTGGTACCCCCCCGGGGCCTCCGGTGGAGCTCCCTATGGAGCCACGAAGCGCTGTACTGGGTGTGGCAGACGCATGTGGTACCCCCCCTGGGGCTTTCGGTGGAGCTTCCTATGGGACCACGAAGCGCTGTACTGGGCGTGGCAGACGCATGTGGTACCCCCCCGTGGGGCCTTTCGTGGAGCTCCCTGTGGGGCCACGAAGCGCTGTACTGGGTGGGTGAAACGCATGGAGGAGGGAGGGGGGGGAGGATGAGGGAGTGGGACGCGGGGCGTTGTCTCTTCAAAACGAGGACCCAACATCACAGGATGGTTGGGAACAACTGTTAAGCCGCTTTTTCTTATCCCCCCGCAACAAATAGATGCATAGTTTTTTTTGGTTGTTTACTTTTTTGTTTTTCGGGGGGGAAATGAGAGGAAAACCCTGCTCCTTTGAGGAGCAAGGCAGACGCAGGGAAGGATGAGGACCACGAGGAGAAGCACGCGAAAGAGCACGCAGAGCATGCGCGCGCGCGCACCGCCACAGGCGCATTCAAACACGCACGCGCTGAATCAGTGTGAAAGCCTCGCGCGCGCGCCCTCGACCCCGAGGGACTCCACAATCTCCCGTCCTCGAGGAAGAGGGGGTGCATGACGAGCAGGAGGAGGAGCAAGCGGGAGGAGGGAGGAGGAAGAGGGGGGGTGGAGGGGGAGGAGGAGGTGGAGGAAAATGGAGGGGGCAGGCTTCGACGTTTTTTGGGGATCTCCTGGGTCTTTGGAGGCTGAAGCTTCCGGCTAGCAGGGTCTGGCTCCACGCCCCCTGCGTAGCAGGGTCTGGAATGCTCCAGGCACCCTGAATGGTCCGAGTAGATGGGGTCGGGGGATCACGCTGCATGCGGCTCGATGTGGAGTCCGAGTTTCTCCACGCCGATGGCGCTGTTGCGTCGCCGGCGTCGCCGATGCATCGCAAGTACATTGGCGATACGGTGCGATTCTCCGACTGTCTCTCGGACCCCGTTTGGGAGGCCTCCAGACACCGTGCCATACTCGCGAGTGCCTGTCACCAGCGTCCAGCGAATTGAGGGAGGGTCCGTTCTGTTCTGTTCTGTTCCCGTGTTTCTAGTGCTGGTCGCCCAGGGGGCCAAGGATGGCGACGCAAAGGAGGAGGACGACGCGAAGGTGAAAGACTCTGATGCGAAGGCAGAGGCGCTCTCGGCATCAATCTTGAGCTCTCCGCAAGTCGATCCCTTGAGGGAGGGAGGAGGTCGACGGGGAGGTCTGTGCAGAGGTCACCAGGCTTCTCCATGAGCATCCGTCGGTTTCTGGATGCGAATGTTGATGATGCTGCTGCTGCTGCTGATGATGATGATGATGATGGTGCTGATGCTGATGCTGATGCTGATGCTGATGATGATGATGATGATGATGAGGATGATGATGCTGAAGATGATGATGATGATGATTATGATGATGATGATGATGATGATGATGATGATGATGATGATGATGATGATGATGACGATGATGATGATGATGATGCTGATGATGATGATGATGATGATAATAATGATGATGGTGGTGATGATGATGATGATGATGATCATGATGATGATGATGATGATGCTGATGATGATGATGATGATGATGATGATGATGATGAGGATGGTGGTACTGCTTCTGCTGATGATGCTGCTGATGATGATGATGGTGGTGACGCTAATCATGATGCTGATGATGTTGATGATGAGGATGGTGATGATGATGATGCTTATGACGATGATGACGATGATGATGCTGAGTACGATGATGATCCGTAAGGGCTTCGCCCCCTGCCGCCGGCCCCCTCATTCGGAGAATGGGCCATGGAAGAGCGAAGTCATGAGGCTTTGGCTTCGCCGTGAAGCAGTGTCGGGACCTGTTTGTTTTTCGACCCTGACCCTACGGATCTGCGTGAGGGGTGCCGCCGAATTTCAAAGATGGCAAATCCCTAATTTTTTGGGACCCTGACCCTGCGGATTGCGTGAGGGGTGCCGCAGAATTTCAAAAGTGTAGCAAATCCTTAATATTTTAAGACCCTGACCCTGCCGATCTGCGTGAGGGGTGCCGCCGAATTTCAGAAATGTGGCAAATCACCTGTGTTTTTGGACCGTGACCCCTCCGATCTGCGTGAGGGGTGCCACCGAGTTTCAGAAATGTGGCACATCGTGTTTTTGGACCCTGACCCGGTTGATCTGCGTGAGGGGTGCCACCGAATATTAGAAATGTGGCAAATCCTTTATGTTTTTGGACCCTGTCCCCGCCGATCTGTGTGAGGGGTGCAGCCGAATTTCAGAAATGTGGTGAATCCTTTATGTTTTTGGACCCTGACCCCGCCGATCTGCGTGAGGGGTGACACCGAATTTCAGAAATGTGGCAAATCCTTTATGTTTTGGGACTCTGACCCCGCCGATCTGCGTGAGGGGTGCCACCGAATTTCAGAAATGTAGCAAATCCTTTGTGTTTTTGGACCCTGATCCCGCCGATCTGCGTGAGGGGTGCCAGGAAATTTCAGAAAAGTGGCAAATCCCTTATGTCTTGCGGACCCTGACCCCGCCGATCTGTTTGAGTGGTGCCACCGAATTTCAGAAATGTAGCAAATCCTTTTTGTTTTTGGATCCTGACCCAGCCGATCTGCGTGAGGGGTGCCAGGAAATTTCAGAAAAGTGGCAAATCCCTTGTGTTTTTGGACCCTGACCCCGCCGATCTGCGTGAGGGGGTTAATTTTTAATCACCCCAGCAACTCAGACAATACGATTTGGGCGTGGTGAAACTGTCCGTTTTGGGCCTCCCCCCCTCGCGCGGTCCATCAACAAGGAACAGTAAGCAGCAAGCAGAACTGTAACAAGGAACAGTCAGCAGCAAGAAGCAGAACTGTAACAGTGGAAACTGGAAGCTGCAACTGGTTCAGGAAACTGCGAACCTCCGGCCTACGGCCTGGTGGCACCACAAGGGGGCCGGCGGATTATGCTGATGCTGATGGTGATGATGCTGCGGATGATGTTGCTGACAATGATGTTTTTGTTGTTGCATTGGTTAACGTTGATGATGTGGTTGTTGATGATGGTGGCGACGATTACGATAACGGTGACGACGAGGAGGATGATGCTGACGACGACGACCTTGATGATGATGACGATGATGCTGATGACGATGATGCTGCTGAGGGTTATGACGACGACGATTCTGATGACGACGATGATATGATGCTGATGCTGGTGCTGATGCTGATGCTGATGAGGACATAGCAAGTACGTAAAAACATGATGGTGCTGATGATGATGATGATGATAATTATGATGCTGATGATGATGACGATGAGGACGGTGACGACGATGATGACGACGACTACGATGGTGATGACCATGACGATGGTGGTGGTGGTGGTGATGAGGATGCTGCTGCTGTTGATGACGATGACGATGACGATGATGAGGATGATGATGACGATGATGATCATGATGATGATGATGATGATGATGATGATGATGATGATGATGATGATGATGATGATGATGATGATGATGATGATAAGGATGATAAGGATGATGATGCTGATGGTGATGCTAATGGTGGCGATGCTGATGTGATGCTGATGATGATCATGCTGATGCTGATGCTACTGCTGCTGCTGATGATGCTGCTGCTGCTGATGATTATAAGGATGATGCTGCTGATTATGATGCTGCTGCTGCTGCTGCTGCTGCTGATGATGATGATGATGATGATGATGATGATGATGATGATGATGATGATGATGATGATGATCATCGTCTGCTTGTCGATGGACAGCGTACCAAGCACACCTGCCATCCGCCGACCAAGCTTGTTCAGTTGGGTTACCACCGAAGCCCTGGCCAGCCACGAGATCCCGAAGGCTTCCCGGAGACACCCGACCGCCGACCCAGAACTTCGAAGCGGACCCAGCCGTGGCGACGAGGAGGGCCTTGAAACCCCTTCTCCCTCCGCGGTTCACCTGCCCGCGGGGACGGGCGCGGCAGCGGCTGCCACTGTTTCACCCACTCCCGACGCGTCCCGCGACGGGGGCTGGGGGCAGCGCTCCCTCGATTCCACGGGGCGGGCAGCGGCGGAGCTGCCATGGCTCACCCACCCCCAGAGGGTCCCGCAGCCGGAGGGTCCAGCGCTCCCTCGCAGGCCTAGAGGTTGACACCAACACCAATATCGGCGGTGTGCCTCCATCGAGGGGAGGAAGATCCTGATCTCGGTGATGGTGGTAATATTCTGGCTTCCAAGGTGGCCGAACTATTGCCACCAACACCGAAATCTAGGATCACCTTCCCCCTGTGGAGGCAGCCCCCTGTGTTGGTGTTGGTGCCCATTTCCAGGCCTCCGGCTCCCACAGTTCACCTGCTGGGCAGGGCGAGCACGGGGGGGGGGGGGGTGCAGGAGCCAGGGAGACCCAGCCCTCCAGGGCTCGAACCTGGACAGCTACGACGACCCATCCAGGCGGGTGTGCTGCACGCCAGCCCAGGCGCTCTCCTGGACCGTCTTGGCCGTATGGTGGGTGTCTGGGGGCCGTCGTGGGGCCGTCTTGGCGCCGTCTTGGGCCGTCGAAAGCCTCGTAAGGCTGTCTTCGGTCCCACGGGCCCTCATGGGCCGTTTTGGGGTCGTCTTGGATGCCTCGTGGGCCATCGTGGGTTCCTCTTGGGTCATCTTGGGACCCTCTTGGGAATCTCTTGGCACCGTCTTGGGGCCATCGTGGAGGCTTCTTGTCCCGCCCTGAGCTGACGGCCCTTTTGGGCCCTCTTGGGGGCATCTTGGACGGTTTTGAGATTAGATTCGGCCGCCTCGGGGCCATCTCGTGCCGTCTTCGAGGCATCTCGGGCCATCCTTGCGTCCTTGACTGCCTGCATGGGCCGTCCTGGAAGCTCGAGACGCGGACACACCTGTTTCGTACGAGGGATCGTGGCCCCGCGAGCGCAGATCCTCCGTTCTCTTCCGAGGCATCGTGGCCTCGGGAGGGATGGAGGGTGCACGGCGCCGGATGCGGGTAGGGGGGATCCCGTATTGGAGGAAAGGAGCCCTACCAGACAGCACTTGGGATTATACCTCGCCTCAACGTGCCAGGGGGCACGGTGGCGGACAGGGACTCCGCATGCATTTTTTTGGTTTAGGGTACAAGTTGGAGCGACTCTGCCACGCAGGATCTGGGAGACTAACGCATTGCGCTGGTTGGGCTTTCTTTTCGGTGGCACATCTCGGACTGGGGATGCCGGCTCTTCCTCTTGACTGTCCGTGACCTCTCAGGGCAAGACAAAATCAAAAAAGAAGAAAAAGGATTCTGCCGAGGAGCAGAAGGAGGAGAGCAAGGCAGAGGCCAAGCCTAAGGAGAGCAAGGTGCAGTTCAAGCCCCGGAAAAAGGAGCCAGCTGACTCTGATGACGAGGATGACGAGCCCAAGAAGGCAGCCACCAAGTCGAAGAAGGACCGGGCGATGGATGATTCGCGTAGCATTGGTTTCACACTTATACTGTGCTGGGCTTGCCAGCGGTCGTTTTCCATTGCGGTCCCCGAAGAGACTCTGCCACTGGGAGGCAGGTAGAGGCTGTAATCAGTACCAGCCCAGCGTAGTTCTTCGCATTGTGCGCACGTGCACCCGCCGCTTGGCCTACGTGCTTCGTTTTCCCAGCCTGGCCTGATGGTCCCGAGGAAGATGAGAAGCCGAAGAAGAAAGCGGCAGACTCTTCGGACGAGGGCGACAAGAAGCCGCCCAAGGAGAGGGGAGGGCGTTTGTGGTCTGCTGCCGCTTCTCCAGCGTGCTCTTGGGTACTGGGGGAGCTCAGGGCGGCCCATGAGATTTCGGGGGTACCCGTTGTCGACAGTCGACCCATTTGTCAGCACCTAGGTGCCAGCATGAAGGAGGAGAGGAGGGAGGAGGAGGAGGAGGAGGAGGAGGAGGAGGAAGAGGAGGAAGAGGAGGAGGAGGAGGAGGAGGAGGAGGAGGAGGAGGAAGAGGAGGACCAGTGTAAACCCAAGGCGCATCAACGATGTTGCAGTAAACCCTCCGTCCAAGTTCCCTCGTCATAGTTCCCTACAAGAATGTATATCCACTGCTGGAAGTGCCACGTTGGAAGACAGCGGTCGGATAATCCTCAGTCGTGTCAAAGCACAACTCCACACAACTCCTCGGACTTCAACGCTGCGCATCTTTTTTCATTGTTGCGTCCTGACGGTCCCGCATCGTGCCGAAACACCATTCCTGGAATTTCACCTCCGCGGATGAACGTTACTGTTGTGTCCTGACAATCTCAACTCGTTCAGGAACACCGTCTCTTGGCAGTCAGCCATCATGCTCCTTTCAACGGTGGTGAACCTACGATTACTGTGCGCGGCGCTCAGGGGAGAGCCACATTTTGAAACCAACCGCCCTCCATCCGTGAAGCTCATGCAAACTTCTACGACGGACGCGCGCGGCGCCAAGGCCAGAGCCACATTTTGAACAGCAGGTGCCCTCCATCCGTGGAAACTCTTGCAAGCTTTCGAGAGGAATGCGCGCGGCGCTACGGCGAGAGAGCCACATTTTGAAACGGAGCCGCCCTACATCCGTGATGCTCTTGCAAACTTGTAAGACCAATGTGCGCGGCGCTCAGTCGAGGGCCACATGTTGAAAAGGAGCCGCCCTCCATCCGTGATTCTCGTGACCAATTTGCGCGGCGCTAAGGTGAGAGCCACATTTTGAAAACGAGCCGCCTTCCGTCCGTGAAACCGTTACAAATCTTGAAGACGAATGTGCGAGGCGCGCTAAGGCGAGAGCCACATTTGAAAACCACCCGCGTTGCATCCGTGAAACTCATGCAAACTATTCAGACGAATGTGCGTGACGCCAAGGCCACAACCACATTTTGAAAACGACCCGCCCTTTATTCGTGAAGCCAGTGCAAACTTTAAGACGACTGTGCGAGGCGCTAAGGAGGCATCCACGTTTTGAAAACCACCCGCCCTCCGTTAGTGCAGTTGCTGTGACTCCTAAGCTTCAGAAGCATAGATGGTGAGGACGTCTCAGGCGAACCGCCTGGCCCGCCCTACGCCTCGGGATGCGACAGGGAGGAGTTTTTCATACGGCGGAGGAGGAGGAGGAGGAGGAGGAGGAGGAGGAGGAGGAGGAGGAGGAGGAGGAGGAGGAGGAGGAGGAGGAGCGGTACGAGGAGGAGATGGAGGAGGGGGGAGGACCATCAGGACGCTGAAACAGGGACCTCTTTGGGCTCATGGAGGGGTTATGGTCTCCAGGCCAAGCCTCAGAGCTGTGCTATGGGGAGCCCATTTGCGTGGCCGGGGCCAGCCAAAACCAGAAGGAGCCCTTTTTCGCTCTGTGATTTGCAGCGCTCCCATGGCAGCACGACGGGTCCATGCATCTGGGCCTCCGAGATTCGCCATGGGGTAAACGGGTCCCGAGGGAAACGGCTCCTAAGGTTTTTCGCCGTTTTCGGGCTCTCGGTGCTCTCCACGGGCCCCGTGATTGTCGGAAAGCGACTCAGGATGAAGACCTCGTCATGAGGGAAGGCCCCAGGGTCCAGGACCCGTTTCCCTCAGGACCCGTTTCGCCCACGCTAAGAGATGGGGTCCGAGTAGGCTCCTCGTGCAGCCAGGCTCTTTCGGTGCCAAACAGGTACTTCGTTCCTCGTTCAGCGTTCCTTATTGTAGCACCTTGATTTTAATACAGACAGGATCTAGTGACGCGGAAGGCGGAAGGTGGGGTCGGAGGATTGCGCCGCATCGCCGATGTGGAGCCCGATCTTCTCCACGCCGACGACGCCGATGCATCGCCGCTGTCGGCGATGCATCGTCGATGCGAAGCGATCCTCCGACCCCACCTGCTCGCGGCCCTCGTGGGGCGCGCGGGTGGCGAGGACGCCAAGCGGAAGCCCAAGGACCCGCTCGCCTCCTCGTCCGAGGACGAGAAGCCCAAGCCCAAGGCCCGTCGGGCGCGCGCCGCTCCCGCGCGCTCGATGGCCTCGGCGAGGAGGGGGAGGGGGAGGCATCGAGGGCCGAGGGTCAAACAGGATCGAGGACCTTTTTTTTGGGGGGGGTCGGGTGCCTTTGGGGCAGTCTTGGGCCTCCTGTGGCGCGCTCGTGGCTACGGCGACCAAGGGTCCTCGACGCGCTTTCCAGGCAGCCCACGACCCCCCCAACGGCCCCGATTGGCCGAGTATCGGGCCCAACACGGCCCCAATGCGCCCTCATAAGATGTTCCATGCGTATGTTGCTTGGCCAAGGCGGCTCCAGGACTCCCACATAATCTTCCCGTCTGTTCCAAGACCCAGAAAGGGGGCACCAAGGACTTTCGAACCTGTCACCAAACATGCCCCGACCATGTCCTCAGAAGGCATCGCGACATGCAGCCACTCCGTTGCGACTTGGCCTTGTCTCGTACTTCAGGAGGTTACCTTCGAGGGAGAGGGGATGGAGTCAGCGAGGGAGGAAGGAAGGAAGGAAGGAAGGGAGGAAGAAAAGAAATAAGACGGAAGAGGCGGAGGCGGAGGAGGAGGAGGCGGGATAGGGGAAAGAGGGAGGGAGGGAGCGAGGGAGGGAGGAAGAGAGGGAGCGAGGGGTAGGAGGATGAGGATGAGGAGGAGGAGGAGGAGGAAGAGGAGGAGGAGGAGGAGGAGGAGGAGGAGGAGGAGGAGGAGGAGGAGGAGGAGGAGGAGGAGGAAGAGGATATCATGGGGAGGGGGGAGTGGTGGAGGGGAGGAGTAGGGATAGAGAAAGATGTAGTTGGAGAGGGAGAGGAGGGGGGAGGAGAAGGAGATGAAGAGGAGGAGCAGCAGAAGGAGGAGGAGGAGGAGTACAATACTAAGGGAACGAGGACAATGAGGGAAGGGTGAGGGAGATGGGGGTAACAAGACAGAGCGAGGAGGCAATAGTTGGAATAAGCGATAGCCTGCGTGTGCATGTGTTTGGGGGGGGGCGATGGGACCTGCTGGACGTTTCTGGCGGTCGTTGTGCCATGGTCTGCCACCCGACATGCGGCCAGGAGAGTCGTTCGTTGTACGGCGGGGGCTTCAGATGAGGAAACCTTGTACAAGGAATCCACGGTCCGGAAGCCAGTGGAGCTCCAATTGTGGATTGGCCGTGGGTATCGTCACCGCCCTCATCAGACAAGGAAGCCTCCGGGGTCTGACGCCTCCCGGGCGCATTCCCGAGCCAACGCCTCCACCGTACGTCGGCTTCCCCCCCCCGCGCTGTGCGCCTCACTGGTCTGCTCCTCGACGTGCGGCCCGAGAGCGGCCCCGTTGGCCACCCCCGTGTGGCTCCCGAAGTGTGCGGCTCGGCTCCCGCGGTGCCCCTGCTTTGCCCCCCCCCCCCCCACACACACACACACACCCCGCTTCCTGTGGGCAGCCAGGGTGGCTACTCGGACATCCAGAAGAGGGGGGATGGAGTGGGGAGGTGTTCGGTAGCAAATCATGGGAGCCCGGTGTGCCCTTGTAGTTTTGTCTTTAGCGTCGATCAGCATTGATTGGCGTCTGGGAGTCGATGAGATAGCGCCGATTTAGAGTCGGTTAGCGTCGATTAGCGTCGACTTGGCTTCGATCAGCGTCGATTCAGCGTCGGTTAGCTTCGACCCGCAAGGGTCGACAAGACGGTATGGGAGGCTCCCGTGAGTCTCCACCGAGGGAGGTGGAGGAGGTGTGATCAGAGTGGGGAGGCCAGAGCTCACAGCCCACCGCTCGTGCACAACGGGCGCCGGCACAGCGTTCCTCGCGCCATCGTCTCCCCCCTCCCTCCCCTCCTGCCCATCGCGGAGGCCTCACGGCCTCTGCCGCCGCCCCCGAAGGCAGGGCCTCGCCACAGAGGCCCCCGCTGGCGGCCCTCCGCGGGACCCGCCGGGACCCCGGGGGGGGGGCGGTGATTCTGACCTTCCCCGCTTCCCTCCTGGCAGTCGTGCTCGTTCCCAGGGTGATGGATCGTATCGCTCGCCTTGCGTGCACACTTGTTTGGTCTGCGGGTGGAGAGCGAACCTCTTCCGGTTGAAAGCTAGGCGGGCTACGCAAAGCTCTGATTTGGGGAGACGGAGCACAGGCGGGCGGGGCCTCAGGCGGCCGGAGGGCGCCGCCTTGCGTACACACCCTTAGGCGAACGACCAGAGAAGTACGCGCCAGGCGGATGTGTCTCTGCCGCGAGACACGGGCAGTGTCTTTTCGTTGTGCTCATTCCAGCGGCGATCATTCATCTCGTTTCGCCTTGCGTGTGCACCCTTGGGCATCGGACCAGACACGTGTGCGCCAGGCGGATGCGCCTCTGTCCAAAGTCATCAGGGCCTGGTCTTCTCGTCGACTCTTTCAGCCCCGGGTGCCTCGATCTGTTTCGGTCTGCCCTGCGCACGCACCTTGGGGTTGGCTGACCACAGAGTGTGCGCCGGGCGGACGCGTCTCTATCGGGATACGCTATCCACGTTCGGTTCTCGGGCCGCAGGTCTCGAGTCGGTGCGCGGTGCGTGCGTGGCGTGTGGCTTGCCGCCCCTCCCAGAAGAGGGGAGGAAGAAGAGGGCGGAGGGGTGGAGACGTGGGATTGGGGGGGAGAGGGGATGGACGCAGCAGTGAGAGAGGGCGGCGGGTGAACGAGGTAGATGAGAGTGTCTCGAGTTGGCTCCGTTGTAAGCTGTTTGCCCTCGCTGCAGTCTGATTTGCCCCCCCCCCTCCCCCCTCACGCTGTGCAGATCCAGGCTGGCTGGTCTGGACTTTTCAGGGGGGTCTCGAGGAACACGATGAGTTCGCCTCCCGTGGCACGCGGAGCTTCAGTGGACCGTCCAGCGCCTTTAGCCCTTTCCTCCCCTCTCATTTCTCTCCCTACCGCCTCACTCCTCCCAAATCCCTCCTCCCCTCTCCTGTTACTCCTCGTCGTGTGGCTCGCCTTTCCCACAGGGAGATTACCCAACCAATGGTCATAACGCACGTCTCTGCGAGTTTGGCGTCTGCCCCCTCGTGCCTAGTTCGTCCATCCTTGTACCAACCTCTGTGCTATGGCTCTACCTTGCTCCGCGCACTGGCCACCGGGCCCCCCCCCAGGCCCGAGACCGGCCCCTTTCGCCGATCCCCGGGACTGAGCTGCAGGGGGGGGCCCCCCTTGCAGCTCAGTTTGCCCCCGGGGGGTCATTGCCCCACTTCGGGGCCCTCGGGCGCCTCTTTCGGCTTTTCCCGAGATGAGTCAGGAGGACGACTACTGGCCGCCACGACATCCCCGCGGTGGCCGAAGGCGTCCCAAGATGATTCAGGCCGGCCTCCAGGGGCCTCCGAGAGCCAGAATCGCAGAACACTTGTTCTTCAACGTCGGACGACTTTGGGAGCTCTCCAGAGCGCGCGCGGACGGCCCCACAGCGCCCGAAGAAGGCCACGGCCCCAGGACGTTCCAGCAGGAACCCGAGAAAGGCACGAGAAAGCCCCTGGAAGGGTCCGAGAGAACCCCAGGACGGCCCAAGAGAGCGCAAGGCTTGCCCAGAAGAGCACCAGGACGCGCCAAGGCGGCGTAAGACGTCGTCCCAGGACCCCCCAGAGGTCCCCAAACACCCTCCTGCAGGGCGCCAAGAGCCCGCCCGAGGCCCCGAATACGCCGCCCGAGCGAGCCCCACGGCGGCCCATAGCGCACAGAAGATCCCCAAGGGACTCCAACACTGCAAGCCGGCCCACTTCATCATTCAATATCCACCCACCTGGGCCCTGAGGAGCTCGAAGGTCCCGCAGAGAGCCAGCATGAGGAGGCAGTCAAAAGGAGCGAGACACAAAAAGCGAGGACAGGCGAGAGGGATTTGATGATTAGCGAGGAAGGATATATAAGAAATGTTGGAGGACGCGGTAAGGGAAGATATGGAGCGAGCTGGCCCGAAAACCACCGACAGGTAGAGCAGGCTGTCGTCAGCCCTAAGAGGCATCGCAGCATGAATCCGCTGTGCCGTGACAGCGCCCTGGCCTGCGCTAGAACCTGAACGCGCGCAGAGCGCGCGCGTTGTTTTAGTGGCAGTGTATGCAGGTTCACTGTCCGCAGCTTGGTTCGCTCACTCGCGCCAGTCGCGGCAGGACTACAATTAAGTCGGGCGTGGCCCTCTACAGGGGGAAAGGTCAAGAATAGTCAAAAAATAACACGGGGACGACATTGGAGTATGTTTGGTAATTTGTAGGGAATTTTCGGAGTATGTTTAAAATTTTCAGTCCAAGATCCCCCTGTGGGGGGACATTCCCGACCCAAGGCTACGAGTAAGATGCGCATCCGGGATCGGAGCTGCTGCGGCCGTGCTGCCTGCTCTCCAGGTCCTGCTGACTCTGCTGCTGCTGCTGCTGCTGCCTCGTTGCTGCCCCGACCGGCAGCGAGCATGCGCAGCCCCGGAGCGGCAGGCGAAGCAGAGGAAGCCGCCGGAGTCCTCCGAGGCCCGAGCCCTGCTCCGGGCTCTGCGCGCGTCTGCGCGCAGCCTGCCCTGCCCAGAGCGGTCTGCATGTGGCATCGGGCTCTGCATGTCCTCGTCAGAGTGTCTACGCGAAGCTGCCCTGCCTAGAGCTGTCCCTCCCTCCTCCCTCTCTCCTCGTCAGACTAATGTCTACGCGAAACTGCCCTGCCTAGAGCGGTCTGCATGTGGCATCGGGCTCTGCATTTCCTCGTCAAGAGTTCAGAGAGAAGAGGTTGCTGCCGAAGTGGGTCTGTTCGATGCTCTCGCCGATTTTTTTTTCCGTCTCCCACCGCTCAGACCCGCAGCACAGGCCTTCACAACACGACAGGGGCACGACTCGGCCAAGCGACACTCGGCGAGAAGAACTGGGCCTGGCCGAGCCGAACTCGGCCCAGCCGCACTCGGCCCCGGGCCGAGCTTCGGCCGGCCGAGTTCAGCGTGGGCCGAGTTTCTCCGGCCGAGTTTCTCTGGCCGAGCTCGTCCGAGGCGAGCTTGTCGGGCCGAGTCTTTCCGGCCGCGTGGAGAGATCGTGCTGCCGCTGCGGCCGGAGCGCTGGCCGAGCTCGGCGTGGGCCGAGCTCGGCGTGGGCCGAGCTCAGCCTGGCCCAGCGATTCCTCGGCCGAGCTTGTCTGGCCGAGTCCTGTGGTGTTGGGTCCTCGTTTTGAAGGAACAGCGCCCCGCGTCCTCCCTCCTCCTCCTCTCGTCCTCCCCCTCCTCCCTCCTCCTCCCTCCTCCCCCTCCTCCTCAGTACAGCGTTCCCCCCACCCAGTGCAGCGCTTCGTTGCCCCACAGGGAGCTTCATGGTTGGGTCCTTCCCCAGGATAGTTTTCCGAACCGAGTTTGTTTGGCCGAGTTTTTGCGGCCGAGTTGATCGGGCCGAGTTTTTGGCTGGCCGAGTTTCGCGGGGCCGAGTTTGCTTACCTGGAACCGTTTCTGGAGCCGCGTAGGGCGTTTCGCGTGCGCACGGCTCCCAACAGGCGAGCCCGACCAAAGCAGATGTGGCAGGCGAGCCCCTGTTCGAACAAGCGCTGCCTGCACGAGCAAACCGAAGCGCTGATACCATCATTCGAGCTGACTGGATTTCAGCATGGCAGTGCGCAGGTCCTCCACGAGATAGTTGAGCTGGGAAAACCAAGAGAGACGATGAGAGCGTAGCCGAGACGAGAAGAGCAACGCCGAGGAAAGCAAACTCAACGTCAGCAGCAATATGAACGACGGCGAACAGCAAAGCAATGCTCAAACAGTGGGTTGCTACACATGTTGTAGCTACGCACATTTCGGATCCCTAGTGTAACGACCCTGAATGAACAACTAAAAGTAAGGTGGGCCTTCGCACACGCAAAGATTGCGTGACTACAGAAAATCCTGTAGTCATTCAAATGTTCGGAGTATCGCAAATACACCGCATCCTTTTTCACCCTGCTCACTCATTGTCTCCTTCAAAATGATTGCATTAGGGTAAGAATTTTGCGTGACTGAACAAAGTTTTGTAGTCACGCGAAATTCCTTCTCTAAAACACACTTCCCTCCCTAACGCATGCTTCCCTTTTGAGACAAAGAGTAAGCCAGGCCTGCGCAGACACAACATTGGCGTGGCTACAACAAGATAGGAAGTCTCCCAACCCCTCCCCCTCCTCCCCCTCGGTCCACGCCCCCGCGATCCCCGAAGGCAACTTCCCCCCCGCGCCCTTCGGCCGACGGTTTCTGTAGGCAGTCGCGCGCCTCTTCAACCAAAGACCCTTCGCCAGGCCACGCCGGCACAGATATGAGAGCCCCGGGCCCCCAGATGCAGAAAGCCGGGGCGAAGTAGAACAAGCAACATGGCAAGCATAAAGATGAGGCACGCCAGCACAGAACAATTAATAGTTTATGTTTTAGCATGAACTGTTGAACAATCGGAGTCGCCAACCCCCTGCCAACCCCGGCAGATTCTTCTGAGCCGCGCACTGCGTGCTGAAAGCGATCGGGCACGCTCGGACGTAGACTTCTTGTATCAGCGGGGCCCACAGTTGTAAGGATGTCCTTAAGGAAACGAGCCCGGCCAACATTCCCGGCCTCCCTCCAAGGTCGGGGGCGGCCAAGAGGGGGGGTGATGACTAGGGGGGTGGATATCATGGCGTCGGCCATGAGATTTCAGATTTCATGGCGTCTCTTCTTAGTGAATCGCTTCGCTCATTCCGCCGGCCCGTGATATGGCATCGCTGGTTTTTGTCTGTGTGTTCGTTGCCCATGTTGCGCTCTTGGGGGCGGGTGTCGTTCGGACGCGTTGCGTGGGGAGTTTTGATGGTGAAGCAGTTCCCTGGGGGTCGTCTCTCGATGGGGCGAAATAGAGTCGTCGTCAAGATGCTTCTTTGGGGGGCCTCTTGGGGTCTGTTGAGAGGCCGTTCGGGGGCGCCTGGGAGACATGTTTGAAGCCTTCTGGGGCTTCTTTTGGGCCTCCTGGGAGTCTCCTGGGGCCTCTTGGCGACATCTTGGGGCCTCTTGGAGGCCTCTTGGGGCCTCTTTGGGACCTCCTGGGCGCCTTCTGGGACGGAGGGCTCCATTTTTGAGTTCTCGGTATCCCTCCTGAGTCCCTCTTGGGCCCGTCTTGGGGCCTCTTGGTCCGTCTTGGGCGGCACTTGGGCCGTCTTGAGGGCTCTCTTGGGTCGTTTCGGCGCCGTCTTGGGAGCTTCGTGGGCCGTCTTGGAGCGGTCTTGGGGGCCTCTTGGGCCGTCTTGGAGCGTCCGGAAGCCGAAAAAGCCAGAACACAAAAAACATCGAAAAAAAACCAATGAAAATCAACGATTTTGGCCTCTTGGGGCTCTCTTCGGAGGCCTCTTGGAAGGCTCTTGGGGCGTCTTGGAGGCCTCTTGGGCTGTCTTGGGGGCCTTTTGGGCCGTCTTGGGGTCATCTTCGGCGTCTTCGAGCGCTCTTTGGGCGTCTCGGGGGCCTCTTGGGCAGTCTTGGGGGCCTCTTGGGGCACTCTGAGCGCGCTCTGGGGAGCCTGAGAGGCCGCACCCAGAAGGAAAACCATCTCTGAGTAGACTTGGTCGGGCGGCGGTCGGGCGGCGGTCGGGCGGCGGTCGGGCGGCGACCGGGCGTTGGTCGGGGTACTTTTCGCCGGGGGACCCCCAGGGGCCGCCCCGCGCGCGCGAACTAGAAATACTGTTAATACTGTTAACCAGTTACCGGAGATCTTAGCACGCCCTGGCCCGTTGGGCCGGCGAATTTCAATACGTCCCTGGCCCCCCCCTGGGCCGCGCACATGCCACCATCCATGATTTGCGCCCCCCCCTCTTGGACGCCCCCCTCTTGGCTGCCCCCCACAAGGATCCGGCCAACCCTCCCCGCCCTCCCCCTCCAGGCAACCCTGCTTAAACAGGCTCCTTCCAGAAGACTTGGTAAGACAGATGGCGGGAGTAAGAGAGGGAATGAAT